CTATACATCCACGTGGCTAGCTCCCTCACCTCCTTCAGGATTCTGCTCAAATGTAACTTTCTCAGTGTGGCCTTCTCTGATCATCCTATTTAAAATTGCAACCCCATCACCTTTTTCTGCTCTATTTTTTCCACATCATTTATCACCATCCAACATATTCCATCTTTTCTTTTTATTTGCTTATTATCTGTCTTCCTGCCATTACAATGGAAGCCCCATGAGGGCATCCTCAGCACCTGTGACAGTGTCTGGCACATAGCAGGCAGTCAATTTAACTCAACTCAACTCACATATTTGTTGAATGACTGATACCGTCTTTTTTCTCTTTTTTGGAAGGGGTGGGGTTACTGATGCAACATATTATAAGACTAGATTTCCTAATATTAAATCACTTTTGGTCACATTGTATGACTCTTTAAAAGTATTTTTGCAATTAATTTGCTTGGATTTTTTCAATCTATATTCATAAGTGTTATTTGGCTATAGCTTTATTATTTTGTTTTATTTTTCTCAGAGTGTTAACAGTGCATTTATCATGCCAAGTAGCTATTTGTTGAAAGTTTGAAAGAACATACTAGTAAAACAATCTGACTCTAAGGACTTTTGGTGAGATAATTCTTTGATAACATTTTCCAGTGTGATTCACAGTTAATGATATTTTCGGGTTTTATGATTTTTTTATGACTTGTATGTCCCATAAAAGGAACCATTTCATAGAAAAATGGGTTTCTGACTTTGGAATTGTATTTGAGTTCTGTTCTCCTCTCTCATTAAAATTTTTTTCTAATTATTTATTTATTCCTTTGCCGTGACTTTCTTCCAGACCCATCTATTTCTTCTCCTTTGGCAGTCTAATACTATATTCTGACACCTAAGATTTTAGGTATCAATTTCTTGACCAGCAAAGTTTACCTTACTAGATGTTGTTTTTGTTTTTAAAATCTGGGCAGCTGTGAAAGCATCATAGCATCTTTGCAACTTACGTCATCTTCAGTACCTACTTGGTTCGGAGCGGGTCCTAAAGACTGTGAGGAGCAATATTACTTCTCTTCTGGATTATTGCAATAGCCCCATGGGTGTCCTTCTTACTGTTAGCCTTCTTCCTCCCAACCCTCCTCCCCCCACTACTTCCCAATCCCCCAGTTTGGGTCATCTTTCTTAAGCTCTAAAATACATAACATCATTTAAGGTCATCGATTGTCAGGCTCTTACTTACTTGTCAAGACTCATTTTCTGTGGCCCCTCTGAATGTATAGCATCTTAAGCAAAATGGCTATTGCTATATCCTTGCTCCTCCATTCAGCTAGAGTTCATCTTCTTCCTCAGAGCTCCTATATCATGTTATTTCTATTTCTATTGTTGAACTTACCACATTCTGTTTTGTATTTTTTGTATGCCTTTCTCCTTGGCTAATTTATAGTCTTGATAAGGGCCAGAGACATCTCTTCTCTTCTTCTATTGAGCACCATGGAATTTTGTAAAATGTGATTGGCTGGTGTTGTCAAGAATAGATTAATTAGAGCTGTGAAATCGAGATAGATATTCATATGAGAGGGTGAGTTGGAAGGAGTAGGAGGAGGAGAGCATATGACAGAGCCAAGAGCCTTCTCCCAGGACTGGTAACAGTGATCTTTTCTTTTTGGTCACAAGGTGGCAGACTATGCCCGTTTCAATACTAATGTAAAAGGCAGTTATGTGAGGCTGAATTCTCTGCCCTGTTCTGGAAATGGCTGAAACTCAGGTTTGGATAAAGCACAGACCCCACTGCCTGACTGCAGGCTGTCCTCCTGGATCTATGGCTCTTCCATGTTTGAACTAACTTCTCTGTGTCTGCATCCCATAGCAATGCATGGCGAATATTAAAAAATGTTTCTCGTTTCCCTTAAATGGATGAAGAAAATATGAACGTTGCCAGTTTTTTAAAAATAAATATCCATGAACCCTCAAACTTAGAGAGAGGAAACAAAATCTGATCAGAGAATTGAAGTGCATCACTTCTCCACTAGATAGCACACATGTTCCCTCCAGGACAGATGACCTTTGGAAGGTCTCAACTGTAAATACCCAAAGAAAGCATTTTGTTTTTCACGTGAGTAGGCCATTCACATGTAAAAGTCTGACATAACCCAGGATATAAGCAGCAGGTTGATTTCAATTCATTTATCTGTATTTTAAATTCTGATGTTGTTTTCTTCACTTTATTAACTTGCTTTAGTTTTTTGTTCCTGTTTTGCCAGAAATATCTTTTATTGAAAAAAATAATAAGCACAGTGCTAAACCAGTTACTGTTGAGTGGATTCCAAGTCAGGGGCCATCCCATGTGTGTCAGAGTAGAACTGTGCTCCATACGGTTTTCAACAGCTGACTTTTGGGAAATCGATTGCCAGTCCTTTCTTCCCTAGGTTGACTTAAACCTCCAAACTTCCAATTAACAGCTGAGTGCACTAACTGTTTGCACCACTCAGGGACTCCAAGCAAAGTGCTAGGAATCGGCTCTTCTGGAATTCTGATGATTATACAGGTGAGATGTTAAGTCTTTCCATTGATACTGATCTATGTCAAATTTAGAAGATAGCTAGTGCATAAATGAGAGAAAAAAAGATTCCTTTCAGGTTTTCAAGTCTTACATAACCTCTCTTTCATGTTCTCTCTCTCTCGATAGATAGGTGGATAGATACTGATACAGATACAATATAGATATAAATACTCACATACTCACACATATTCATATACGTAAACAAATATATGTACACACACTATGTATTTATGTATGTGTGTATAGATACAGATATACATACATTCATATATATAATGTATATATCTACCTATACAGTGAGTGTTTAAGAGCAAAGACTCTGGAGCCAGACTGCCTAGGGACAAATTCTGGTTTACTGATTGGGACACCTTGGGCAATTTACTTGCAGTTCTGTGTCTTAGTTTCCTCCTCTGTAAAATGGGATCATAATAGTACCCATATAATAGGGTAACTGTGCAGATTAAAGAATTTAACAGAACCTGGCACATGGTAAGTACTCAAATCACGTTAGCCACTATTACTATAATGACACTTTTATCTAGTAAAAAAGCACCTTCCATCTACCCCAAGTGGGAGCTTAGATTTTTTTTTAAGGCATCATATTGTTGTATTGACATTGATGTGTATTCACTTGTGCTACATATATTATTCAATTCAATAATTTAGGTGCTCCTGTACAGAATATGCTGGCCATGATTTCTGCTGTTTGGGAACTTTCGTTTTAAGAGACAAGAAAAATAATATGCACCTTTCTTTCTCTAGCATTTACCTCTCCCTTTCTTCTTCCCTTGACCTTCTCATTTAGAAGAATATCAGGAATAGGGAGCTGTATCAGTTAGGAATTCACTCAGCTATAAGTAGCAAAAAATGAACAGTAGCTTAAACAAATAGGGAATTATTCTTCTCACAGAACATGGAGGCAGGAGGCTGATGGTTCTGGTTCAGCGATGATGTTGGGTCCCTGTTACGGAGTGAATTGTGTCCCCCCGAAATATGTGTTGTAAATCCTAACCCCCTATACATGGTTGTAATTCCATTTGGTAATGGGTTTTCTTTGTTATGTTAATGAGGCAGTATTAGTGTAGGGTATGTCTTAAATCTCTTTTGAGATATAAAAAGAGCAGATTAAGCAAGGAAGCAAGGAAGCAGAGATGGGGAAAGACAGATGCCGTCGTACATGAAGATCACTATGATCATCAAGGATTAGAAACTGAAATGAGACAAGACTCTTCCCCCAGAGCCAACAGAGAGAGAAAGCTTTCTTCTTCGCCCTGAATTTGGATTTCGAGGCTCCTAAACTGTGAGAAAATAAATTTCTGTTTGTTTAAGTCACCCACTTGTGGTATTTCTGCTATAGCAGTACTAGATAACTAAGACAGGTCAAAATCTCTGTGATTATTTTGTCCTTTCCCTCATGTTCACAAAGTGGCTGCTGCAGTTCCAAATATCATGTTCATGTTAATCCAAGAAAAAGAGGGTAAGAAAGGAGGAAGGAAGGTGTACCAGATGTATATGGTCTTCTTATGAGAAAAAGAAGAAGCCTTCCAGAACTCTACCCTACCTCCTTACAATGAAACTTTGAACTGATTTCTAGAACTGTGTTACAAGGCCACCAATAGCTGGAAAAGTAGCTATACTAAAGCACAGGAGAGAGAAATAGATTTGAAATGATTTGGTATCAGCCAATGAATAATATCTGCTGAGATAAGTTTTTGTCTTGGCTTTGTCTTTGTGTTCTCCTTCTCGAATTCTCCCTGTTGCCTTCCCTCCACCCTTTTCTCCTCTTTGGAAGGAGGTAGAACTGAGAAAAGTAATAACTTGGAGATTTATTTCAGGAAATAAAATTTTGCCTTATAAGAAGTTATAAATGTGCAACAGCAGAAAGCGCATAAAAAGATATGAAGTAGGACGTCTTTTTAAGAGCAGAGGGAGGTCAGAGGAAAAGGAAAAAACCAGCTTAAGCAGAATGGGACCGGGGAATAATTGCAAGCTTTATCCAGCCAGATTAATTTCATAAACACTGCCTTTGCCGAAGGCAGAACTAATCTTGTTGCCTTTGGAATGAAGCACCAGAGTCAATAGATTTTCCTATAGATCATTTAATTACAGATTATCATATGAGAGATCTTGTTTAACTTATGTCTACAAGAGTAAACAATATCGCAAGGCATTTGTGACATTTGCAAACTTTTAAATGATACTTATTTAAATCTTACTTATTCCATAAATCCTTAATGAAGTTTAGGGCTTTCAAAAGGTGCATTAGTTACAGCTTTAAATAGAATTTCATACCTTGACCATTAAAATACCAAAAATTCTCCCGAGGAGACCAAGTTTCTTGGTTTATCAGTTCACTGATCTCTTCCTCCCTTCATGTTGTCCGCCCTCAGTTGACTCTCAGATATGGTCGATTCACAGATGACCAGGTATTCAAACTGCTCCCCTGCTGGACATTCCTAGTGGACTAGTCACCATCACTGTCACTTGAACTGTCACTCTCAGAGGACTCACTGCTATCATCCTTTCTAGGGAGCCTAGGACTTCTTCTATTGGAATGGGGTCTTCTGTAATCCCAAGAGCCTTTCCTTTGTGACATACCCTTATTCCATGTTGCAGCATTTTGTCTATGGGGTACATGATTATTTTTTCTGCCATTGCTGTGTATTACTGTATTTTTCCCATTAGTGGGGCCATTGTGGAAACTTATTTCATTATCAAAACCTGGAGAAGAAATTGGCAGGCCCTGGCTCTTCCCCTTACCAGAAAATCTTTGTCTTTCTTTTAAGGTTTCTTGGTTCCTGTTAGAATGTTCTGCACCTTTTCGAGTGCTACCTTTGCCATTTTTAGGAATTTCATTATAATCAGTGCTTTTAGTTACATCACTACCACCTTCTTTTCTTTTCTCTTTTGACGGTGCATGAGGGTAATGAAATTCTATTCTCCCTTGATGAGCATTTTGACTACCAGCATCTACTCTGTTTCCTTCTTTTCCAGGGAGTTCCTTAAAATTGGTACTACCTGTGATGTCATTGCTGCCCTCCACAAGGCTAACACCTGCAGCATTTGCCTCTTTTGCTGTTGTGTCCCTGCTTCCAATGGCATTTCCACTATCTTCCTCTTTCTCTGGGATCTCATTGTAACCTGGCCCTCTTGTGTCAGGATCAGTAGTCTCAGCTTCACTTGGGCCTGAAAACCCCTTTTGAGTATCTGTACCTTCTACGTCAGGACCAGTAGCGTCTCCTTTACCAGGAATATCCTCAAGAGGCTGGCCATCCCCACTGAAAGGGGAGATATCATTGCCTCCTCTCTGTTGGAGACCTGTGTAACCACTGCCTTCAAAATCACTGGAGATTGTTTTGACTTTTGGGAGCTGTTTAAGGTAGTCAGAGTTGCGTTGGATGTGATAGGTGCTTTTGCTTTTGACTGGAATATTATGGACTTGGGCATCTTTTTGATGATTCTTTTTACCTTTTGAGAAGACTTCAGCATAGTTAGCACCTCTGAGGAATTTTTTTAGAACATTTCTAGGTTTCTTCTTTTTGCGTTCTTCCCTCAAGGGTGCAATTACAGTCACTGGTCTCGTTAGATGTTGCGTGTTATTTCTGATGAGATCCGCACTATATTCTTCTTGGTCATGTTGTTTGCTGATAGCATTGTCCCCATTCTCAGCCCCATTATGCCCAGTGGATTCAGGATAAATGGACATCTTTAGACCATCGTGGGCATTCTCTTTGTTACTAATGCTATGGTCTTCATGCTGTGTTTCTCTATTTGCAAAAATATTTTGGGATTTGCTACTTTGATTATTTTCATTGGCTTCAAGGAGGAGCAAGACTTTCTCTCTTTCCCAGACAACGTTCTCTTTAGGAGGCAGATCTTGTTTTCTTTTCTTGCCAGGATGGCGAAGAGCAGTATCGTCTTTGTTCCTTTCTTCTGGCTAAGAGTGTAATTTTCAAAATAAAAGTGATTATTTTATGTTAACTTTAGAACCTAACAATTCTTAGTTAATATTAAAAAAAAAACAAAAAACAAAAAGCAACCACCAGATGTAATGAAAGAGTCTGTTAGTTAAACAGAGGTTTATCGGTAGGGATCATTCTGGAATTGTCAAAGAAGGTTTCTTGGAGAAACATGAATGAGCTGAGATTGAAAGATGGGTAAAATTCAGATAGATGGAAAGGAAGTGTTGAGAATATTTTATGGGTAAGTGGCTTCATTAAATATTCAAAAACAGGAAGTATTTGAAAGATATTATTAAAAAAACCCATGTAGCTGGAGTAGAGAAATTCTTAAAAAAAGAATCAGAAACAAATTTAGAAATTTAGACTGGGGACTGAGTTTGAAGAAGGGCATGATTAAAGAGTGTCATCCTGGTCTGGAAAATAGTGAGTTAATTTTCTAAAAATAGTCATTCTCTCTCTTTTTTTTGCCTTTGCCTTGGTCTTACAAGGCATTCATGTGCCTAAAGGGAAGCTTTTCTTTATCTTTTCCATCTTTTTTTACAGGGAATATGCAAATAGAGGAATCGAGGTAATAGTCAGCTTCTGATATTCAAAAATAGAATTTGGCAGTAAGCAAGTGTTGCAATCCCAGCTATTGTCTGAGAAATGACTCATTAACTTGCTTCTCTTCCCCTTTGGCATATAATAAGCCAAATTTGATAGTCCAGATCAATAGTTCTCAAATTTAACATGCACCAGAATTGTCTGAAAGGCTTGCTAAGATAAAAATTGTTCAGCCTCACCCCCAGAGTTTCTAATTCAGTAGGTGTGGGATGTAGCCCTAGAATTTGGATTTCTAACAAGTTCCCAGATGATGTTGTTGCCGCTAATCTGGCTGTTATTGTTGTTAGATGCCATGGAGTCGATTTTAGACTCATAGTCATAGCGATCCCACATGACAGAGTAAAACTGCTCCATAGGTTTTAATCTTTACAGAAGCAGATTGCCAGGTCTTTCTCCTGTTGAGCCACTGGGTAGATTCAAATTGCCAACCTTTTTAAGAACCAAGAACTTAACCACTGTGCCACCAGGACTCCTTGCTGGTCTGGACACCACGTTGGAAACCACTGGTCTAGGACATAATTTTAAGTAACAAAGGTCCTGGGGGAATAATGGGAGGAAAAGAAGATAGCAGAGGAAGAGAGTAAAGTGTTAATGCATGTTATCTCAATTTGTCCTCTTTTGCTTGGGGGCTTTATGAAGATGTGCTTAATAGTTGCCCTTTTCCATCCTGGGGCATAAGCAATTTGCAGTAACAATGTGGTCAGGAAGAGAAAGGGCTGAGATTGACTCTTGCTTATGCCACTTTCTGTTTCTGTGTATCATAGGCTAGACATTGAAGTATCTGGGAGTCTGATTAGGAGCTTTCTGGAGGGTGTCACAGCAGAGGAGTGCAGCGACTCTAAAAGGAGAAAAGTACATGGACCACATACATGAGGGACAAATGTCAGCCATACCCAAAACAACAAAAGACCAGTTTCCATTAAATTAATTCAGATTCATGGGGAACCCATGTGTGTCAGAGTAGAATTGTGCTCCATAGGGTTTTTAATGGCTGAGTTTTTGGAAGTAGATCACCAGGACTTTCTTCTGAGGCACCTCTGGGGGGGACTCAAACTTCCAATCTTTCAGTTAACAGCTGAGCATGTTAATCATTTGCACTTCCCAGGGACTCCATCTAAAACAAACAAACAAACAAAAAAAAAAACACCACACACACACACAAAAACCAAAACACCTCATTGCCATTGAGTTGATCCCAACTCATAGTGACCTTATAGGACAGAGTAGAATCGCCCCATAGGATATCCAAGGCTGTAAATCTTTATGGAAGCAGATTGTCACATCATTTGGCAGAGCGGCTGATGGGTTTGAGCCGCCCACCTTTCAGTTAGCAGCTGATTGCTTTAACCACTGTGCCAACAGAGCTCTTATCTAAAACAAAAAGGGGTCTAAATTGCCTGTGAGAGCTAAGGGAGGCTGAATCACCGCTGGGCCCCAACCAAAACTACACAGATTGGGTCCTACGCTATTCCAGCTAGTGAATTCATTTTAGGATGTCAACAGGGCAAGCAGCATCCAAGTGGTCAAGCAGCATTGTTGCAGAGGCCAGATAACAGCATGCGTGTCTGAGGATCCCAAGCCTTCTTTTCCACCATAGTATTAGCCATGGATATATTAATGGGGAATAAGGAGGGAGAGTGAGGATCTGAGTACTTTTATCCAAAAGAGACTGTTCTTAAATACTTAACTATTTAAATTATTAAAAAAGATGACGTTTAAACAGTTAAAAAGGTGGAATTTAAGTTGATTTCTGCATTGCCCGCCCCCCACCCCCACCCCATCAACTGACGAGTAGGAGCTATTGAGGAACAGTACATTGATAGACAAAATAAATACCATACTTTCTTTCCACCCCAAAATTTTAGGGTCAGTTAAAATTTGCAACACATAGGCCTTTGAGCTGGTGAGTAATAAGAAATTAAAATAAGAGGTATTTACTGAGGGACCAGGACATGTAAGAAACTAGGCTGGGTGCTATATATTCTAGGCAAACTTGGTTATTATTGAGTGGCAAAGACGCTAGTCCTATAGGTGTATTGTAGGATGCGGGTGGAGTGGGACAGAGACCTAGCCAATTGGAATTGTCACACTTACACAGAGTGCCCAAGATTTGTAGAACCTGGGATGCCAGGATAAAGAATTTGGGTTTATTTTGCAAGGGATGAAGAGTTAGTGAAGATTTACAAGCAAGACTCACAAAATAAAAACCAGGGGTTTAAGAGGGACAGGGGTGAGGAAGGACAGTTAGGAGACTGTTACAGTGTCCAGATGCAAGCATTTGGATTAAGATTATGTCAAAGAAAAACATTACAAAGAAAAAAACCTATTGGTGCCAGAAGAGTGAACAAATCTGTCTTGGAAGAAGTACAGCCAGAATGTTCATTAGAAGCAAGGATGGCGAGACATCGTCTCACATACTTTGGCCATGTTATCAGTAGGGACCAGTTCCTGGAGAAGAACATCATGCCTGGTAGAGTAGAGGGTCAGCGAAAAAGAGAAAGACCCTCAATGAGATGGATTGACACAGTGGCTGCAACAATGGGCTCAAGCATAACAACGATTGTGAGGCTGGCATAGAACCGGGCAGTGTTTCGTTCTGTTGAACACAGGGTCACTATGAGTCAGAACTGACTGAATAGCACCTAACAACAACGACAATTGGTGCCCAAATTGAAGGGGGCTTAATAATGAAAATGGAACCCTGGTGGCGAAGTGGTTAAGAGTTTGACTGCTAACCAAAAGGTCGGCATTTCAAATGCACCAACGGCTCCTTGGAAACCCGATGGGGCAGTTCTAGTCTGTCCTATAGGGTTGCTATGAGTCAGAATCGACTCACTGGCAACAGGTTTGTTTTTTGTATGTTTGTTTTAATAATGAAAATGGACTGAAATGTTAACATGCAAGAATGAAGACAGAAGGAAAAGATAATGACTTTAATATTAGACATACAGATGTGGAGGTAGTATAGACTCGACTTAAAAAGCAGTATCCAGTTAGAGATAGAAATTTGGGATCTCTCAGGGGTCACCCAGTATAAGTCCTTCCCAGCCTTAAATTGCTTCCACATTTTCCCTGACCTGTGGTCATCTGGCCTCTCGTCGAACACTTTACTTTTATGTCAGATCTTTTCACTTATGAATAATTGTACCTATTTCATGTTCTTTTTTATCTGCAACTAGTATCTATTTTTCCTGTCACAACAATTATTTCTTCTTTCATATGCAACACCTCCAAATTTGGAACAGCTTAGTTTTCCTTCAAACTCATTGTACGTTTTCTCTTCTCCAGGTTGATACTTGCAGTTCCCTATTGTTAAGACGCTACCCTCAGACCTGTCACCTAACTAAAAAGCAAAATCCAAACCCACTGCCTTTGAGTCGGTTCCAACTCATAGCGACCCTATAGGACAGAGTCCAACCTCCTCATAGGGTTTCCAAGGAGCAAATGGTGAATTCAAACTGCCGACCTTTTGGTTAGCTTTCTGAACTCTTAACCATTACCTAATTACGTATACCCTTTACCTTGTGAGATCTCAAAGCATCCCCAGATTCTGATATGGTTTCATCAGCTCTGAGGACACAGAGCCTATTAGCCCCCTTACTCTAGCCACAGCATTTTTAGCAATGCAGATTAATTTTGTCCTGTCGTTTTTGGCCACCACTTCAATGTATTGGCTCTTGTTGAACATATGGATATTGTCTTAGATGTGTTAATTAAAGATGTGAAAATAGATGAGAGCTCCCAGACAGAGAGAAAAAGAACAGTCATCTGAAATCTCACATTTATGGGGCAAGTGTGTAGGGAAGATAGCAAAAGGAGACAGAAAAAACAGTATTCAGGGACGTCTGGATCATAGAAAAATAGATTTAGTGAAATAACAGGCAGGAGTTGCCACTGGTCTTTCTTGATCCTTCAGTCAAGTGCTTATTGAAAAGTAGTTGCACTATGAAAAGAACACTGGTAGTAGAATTAGTTGCCCAGTGCTACCATTTATGAGCTGTGTGATCTTGGCAGCCTTATTTGATTTCTCTGAGCCTGTTTTCTTAGCTGTAAAATAAGAGAAATGATACCTAACCTTTAGAATTTTTAGGAGAATTAAATGATTTTTAATAAGTGATACAATGCACGTAAAGCTTCTCACGCAATGTCTCTCCTGAAACAAGTACTATATAAGTGATGGACAAGTTGCCATCGAGTCAATTCTGACTCATGGTGAGCCCACAATGAGTCAGAGTAGAGCCCTGCTCCATTTTCAATGGCTGATTTTTTTGAAAGTAGATTGCCCGGGCTTTTCTTCCAAGGTGACTCTGGATAAACTCGAACGTCCAACATTTTGGTTAGCAGCCAAGCACATTAACCATGGGCAGTACCTAGGAACTCTTATAAATGACAGTAACTATCATTTCATACAGAATTGCGTATAGCCCTTTTATCAAATGGTAGTTTCCTTTCTAACATAATACTAATGATTGTCATTTGATTATAGGAGACACAGCTGTTCTGCCAGTCTCTGTTCTTCTCTAACATTGGTTGTTGTGGCAGATGAAGATGGATTAAGTCTGGATTCTTCTGCCTATATACTGCCTGGGTGCCACCCCCTGGTTGTGAATCCTGGAAGCTTGTGGCCCTGATACCATGTTTTCTAAAATGAATTTTGATAAGATTTTCTTTTTTTCTGCCCAAAGATAAGAGTCCTGTTCCACCTGGACGATTCCTACTTTTATGTATATATCTTATTAATTGTTGGGAACAGTGAGAAAAATAGCTGAATCAGCTTACACTTCATGCTCAAGATAAAAATGGTTTATGGAAGTACCCTCTACTCCTATTAAGCTGGCTAATATGCAGTCTGCAAAAGTGTCAAACTGGCTAATATGCAGTCCTTAAAAGTGCCAACTTGTATTTTTAAGCAAAAATTTGAGATGATTTATTTGTGGGAGTTATGATATCATCATTCACTAATTTTTTATATTGGTTTGTATCTTCTGAAAGTAGGTAAGATTTTGTTATTAGAAAAAAGATAATAGAAAGCAAACTTTATTGTAAGTCTGAAGAATTTTAAACATTTAACTTATATTTAAAGTCACTGAGTCTTGGGATGTTTTAATAGGAGGTTTCCTTTGCAATCAAGTTCATTTGTTCATTGCTAAGTTATCCTTTTGAGTAAAACTGGTACTTTAGAAAATCAGTAGATTAAAATAATTCCTTCCTAATTTTTCTTGTCCTCTCTACTCTGGTAGCATATGATAAAGAACAGGTGGTACTGGAGGAAGAAGTCCAAGCTGCACAGAAGGCACTGGTGAAAAACAAGGCTTTAGGAATTGACAAAATACCAATTGAGATATTTCAACAAATGGATGCAATGCTGGAAGCGCTCACTCATATATGCCAAGAAATTTGAAAGACAGCTACCTCGTCAACTGACTGGAAGAGATCCATATTTGTGCCCATTCCAAAGAAAAGTGATCCAACAGAATGTGGGAATTATTGAACAATATAATTAATATTACATACAAATAAAATTTTGCTGAAGATAATTCAAAAGCGGTTGCAGCAGTACATCGACAGCAAACTGCCAGAAATTCAAGCTGGTTCAGAAGAGGACGTAGAACAAGGGATATCATTGCTGATGTCAGATGGATCCTGCCTAAAAGCAGAGAATACCAGAAAGATGTTCACCTGTGTTTTATTGACTGTGCAAAGGCATTCAACCATGTGGATCATAACAAATTATGGATAACACTGCAAAGAATGGGAATTCCAGAACACTTAATTGTGCTCGTGAGGAATCTGAATAGAGACCAAGAGGCAGTTTTTGGAACAGAACAAGGGGATACTGAGTGGTTTAAAGTCAGAAAAGATATGTGTCAGGGTTGTATCTTTTCACCATACTTATTCAATCTATATGCTGAGCAAATAATCCGAGAAACCAGACTATACGAAGAAGAATGTGGCATCAGGATTGGAGGAAGACTCTAATAACCTTTGATATGCAGATGGCACAACCTTGCTTGCTGAAAGTGAAGAGGACTTGAAGCACATACTGGTGAAGATCAAAGAGTACAGCCTTCAGTACGGATTACACCCCAACGTAAAGAAAACAAAAATCCTCACAAATGGACAATAAGCAACATCATGATAAATGGAAACAATATTTAAGGTGTCAAGGATTTCATTTTACTTAGATCCACAGTCAACGTCCATGGAAGCAGCAGTCAAGAAACTGAACGACGTATTGCATTGGGCCGATCAGCCGCAAAAGACGTCTTTAAAGTGTTGAAAAACAAAGATGTCACTTTGAGGAGTAAGGTGCACACAACCCAAGCCGCGGGGTTTTCAATTGCTTCATATGCATACAGAAGCTGGACAATGAATAAGGAAGACTGAAGAAGAATTGCTGCCTTTGAATTATGGTGTTGGCAAAGAATATTGAATATACCGTGTACTGCTGGAAGAATGAACAAATCTGTCTTGGAAGAAGTACAGCCAGTATGCTCCTTAGAAGCAAGGATAGCGAGACGTCATCTCACATACTTTTGACATGTTATCAGGAGGGACCAGTCCCTGGAGAAGGACATCATGCTTGGTAAAGTACAGGGTTAGTGACAAAGATGAAGACCCTCAACGAGATGGATTGACATAGTGTCTTCAACAGTGGACTCAAATACAGTGATGGGTGTGAGGATGGTGCAGAATGGGGTAGAGTTTTGCTTTGTTGCACATTGAGTCGCTGTGAGTCGGAACCGACTTGATGGCACCTAACAACAACTCTCTATCTGAAGTGGGAAGTTTCATTTTATTTTTTCTGCTTCTCCTACTGCTTTATAGCTGCTAACCAAAATGTCGGTGGTTTGAACTTACCAGCAGATCCACAAGAGAAAAGACCTGAAGGTCTGCTCCTGTAAAGATTTCAGCATAGGAAACCCTCTGGGGCAGTTCTACTCTGTCATATAGGGTTGCTATGAGTCGGAATTGACTAGGTAGCATACAACAACACATACTAATGAACTGTGTGCATTTTATTAGATGACTGATTAGAGTTGTTTTATAAAACATGAAACTACTTCTAAACTGTGGTATGTGATGGCCATTTTTGCATTGGAGAAAATGTATTAAATTTCTGCTTTCTGATTTCATCATTGACTATATGGTGAGTCTGTGTATCAGGTGGGTAGTCTACTTTCCTGTGGTCTGCTTTTCTATCTCCACACCTTGGGTCATGTTATTCTTTTCACGGAGAGTGGCCTCTCCCACCCACTTCTATTTACTCAAATCCTACCTAGCCTCCAAGGCCCAGCTCAATTATTTTCATTATGTAGCTTCACCTGAACACCTGGCCAGGAAGTCATCTTTCTCTACTCTACTTCCCTAAAAGCGTGTTTTTTTTTTGTACCACTCACATAACAATTTATATCTCTTGGGTTATAATAACTTTTGTAACTGTCTTAGATTTTGGAGAGAAAGAGTTAAGTTTTCTCAGTCATTTTATCTCCCATAGTATCTTGCACAATAAAAGGAGCTAGACATATATTTGTTATGGCATATAGGTTTTAATTTCATGCAATTAGATGTAGTCTTAGAGATACCATCTAAAGAATATTGAGCAGAAGAAAATAACATTCTGAGGGGAAAATGCTACTACCATGGGAGATGAAGTCAGATTTGGAAAAAGTAAATAGTCCTTTTGCTGATGGCATTTTAAGTGATTTTCCAGATATGTGCCCAATGAATGTGTAAGAAGGGACTGAGTGAGAAGGATGATTGTCACCCCAGTGACAAGGCACGTATTCTTTCTCTTCTGAGCGTCCCGACACAGACGGAGTCATCCGTGGATTAAATTTAAGAGACATTAAGACATTTCACTCTCCAGGTCAAAATGATTTCTCCTATTAGCCCTCCTCTGATGAAATCCCCACCATTAGAGTATATGGAAGAACATGTTTAGAAAATCTCTTTATAAAAGACCAAATGTAACTCAGAGCAACAACATGGCAACCCATGGGCATCCAGTGTGTACGAGTACCACACCTGCAGCAGCCGGTCCTGAAACAGGACAGGGACCAGAACTTGGGACAGGGATCAGGAAGACTCTGAAACACTGAGGGCCATATAGAGAGGCCTGAGGAGCTGGGAAGCTGAAGGGAAAGGGACGAAGACACCGAGGGAAACGCCGTTGTAGGCAAGAGTAAACTTTGTCTCCTCTACCATTTCTCTGGGAAACAGTAGAGAGTTTGGCTCATGATAAGGATCATCACTCAGAGATTCAGCTTACCTTTATGTCAGTTTGATTTTTCCTTCCAGGTGATGTGTAAACATACTTAAAAATATAATACCCATGTTTCTCATGGTGGTCTTTGTACGTTATCTACAAAAACACAACATGAGGTTAAGGTGGATTTCCTGGCTCTATTTTTGACAGTACAAGATGTTTAAAATTTGGGTGAAGTCTAAAATTCTGCCTCTGACTGAGGGTAGTACTACTTATAGCCAAAGGAGGGTGTGTGTTAGCTAGCTGCTGAAGATAGCAACTTAGTCCTTTTTCTCTTCTCTCTCTTTCTCTTTTTTTTGCAGTTGCTGTTGAGTCAATTCTGACTCATGGCAACCCCATGAGTATCAGAGTAGAACTCTGCTCCATAGTGTTTTTAATGGCCGTGATCTTTTGGAAGTAGATTGCCAGGACTTTCTTCCAAGGTGTCTCTGGGTGGACACAAACCTTTAACCTTTCAGTTAGCAGTCTCGCATGCCACCTGGGGACTCCACTCTCTTTTCTACATCTCTAAACCTGTTTCTCCTACGGGTGACTGTCAACTGCTCTTCTTGCCCAGGCATATTAGTCCTATTACCAAATTTCAGTGGCTATGGAGCACACAGAAATGTTTTTAGGTAGAAGTGGGGGAGAGGGTTTAGAAGAAGTCAGATGTTACGGTATTCACGTCTGATGTCAAATTGGCAAAACTCACAGCACAAACGTGCAGAGTTTTAAGTTTGGAGATTTTGCCTTTGTAATTTTCAGCTGAGACAAAGAACAGAAGATTGTTACTTCTTAGAACAGAATTTTCAGAGATTGCCAGGAGAAACCATGGGAGGCATAAGTAAGCTGCAATTTGGTAACATGCAAAGCTGAGGACACTTGTCTCAACTTTCTGGATGTATCTGGAAAACTAACTCCATGTGAACAGAATTTTCCATTAAGACTTGCTAGGCACCTTCCCTTTTTTAATTCCCCATTTGTCACTTTGCTCCCATGTACATATGTGGGGAAATATTGGTTGCTGGAACAATATCCCAGAATTCTTGCTCATTGTTTCACTTGAGGGAAGAAATCAAGTTGAAGAGAAACAAACCTCCGTTCAGAATGTTTCCCTCTTTTCTATCATACATTGTGTTAAGTGTAATACCTGATTAACTAGAAATTGCCAAAATTATGTTGCATAATTTTGCATTTTCACTTTAAGAACCCAAGAAAATTTTGATAATTAAATGTTTCCCTTATTGACGTTTTTCTTTACAGAGCTAAAATAGATTTATTTGAGAAGAATAATTCTGTTTACCTTCTGTTCTTCCACACAGTCTTGCTTAGTTTTCTCAGTCTGTGGTTGAAATGTCTGAAAGAAAACAAGAAACAAAACTTCACCAAATAGAACATTCACTCTTTATTTCTTCAAACAACAAATGCTTCATTTGTTTTTCTGTCTCTGGGTTGTATTATTAAATGTGGAAAATCATTCTGACTAAAAGAAGACGGGCACATTCCTCACATTAATATTTATTTCAGTATTACAAGACAGAGTGCCAGCTTTCCTCCCCTCCCATTAAACCCATTGCCATCCTGTAGACTCCGATTCGTAGTCACTCTATAGGACAGAGGAGAATGCCCCACAGAGTTTCCAAGGCTAAAATCTTTACGAAAGTGGACTGCCACATCTTTCTCCAGCAGAGTAGCTGGGACTAAGTCATCTACTTTACAGAGGTGCATTTGAGCAAAGGAGCACTGTCAAGTGGTGGTGGGGGAGAAGGGAGTGACGGAACTTGGCTGTCATTGATATCCACTGAGAAAGAAGTTTTCACTGGCAAACTGGGAGTTGTTCAATAACAATGAACTAAAATCAGAGTTCAATGACGTGGGTTGCATGTGTGCATTGACTGTATGTTGTTGTTGTTAGTTGCTGTCGAGGTGGCTCTGACCAATGGCGGTCCTGTATACACTCAATGAAACATTGCGCAGTCCCATGACATCCCCACGATCGTTGGCATGCTTGAGTCCATAGTTGCATCCATTGTGTAGTGCCTTTTAATATAGGTGGCTCATCTTCCATCACTATATTGGACAATATTCTGTTGTGATCCATAGGGTTTTCACTGACTAATTTTTGGAAGTAGATCTCCAGGTCTTTCTTCCTAATCTGTTTTAACCTGGGAGCTCCACGGAAACCCGTCCACCATGGATGACCCTGCTGGTATTTGAAATACTGGTGGCATAACTTTCAGCATCATTGCAACATGCAAGCCACCACAGTACAACAAATCGACAGACAGGTGGTAGATTGATTGTATAAATACAGTAACTGCTATATTGAATTAAGATATGATGCTCCCAATGATCCAGTAAGGATAAAACTGTAGCACACAAAGGGTGGGACTACACCTAAGGATGGGACCTTATTTTTTCACTCACCTGGTCAGATATTTCTTTCAGGGAAGGGGAAAATAGAAGTGGCTAATTTATTGGGACAAATGCTTTCTCTTGGTTTAATATAAAAATGTAAAAATTTATTGAGGGTACCTTGGGATGGAGGATAGCTATAGAGGTGGAGAGGCCAAAAACTACAAAGAAATAGACCCAGGTAGCTTGCCCAACCTTTGGGCTTAAGTTTAGGTGCCACAGGAGAAGATATAGAACAGAATCTGAGAATCTTAGGAGCAAGCTTGCTGTGGAAGGAACAGATGTAACAGTTTAATTCATTCTCAGGATTTTTATTTCCTGATTTCATTTTGAATCTGCTCGCTATCTCAGATGTGGCAAGGTGAAACAATGGGTAAGACTGGTTTGTGTTTGAATGCGTTTGCTAAAATGGAAGCAGCCATCATGGTGGTACAGTCATCTAAGAGAGAGAAACCCTCAAGGGAAAGATTAAATAAAGAAGTAAACCGTATAAGGACCACCTTGGCCAACTGTCTTACCCACCTAGACAGTCTTCTCAAAGTTCTGTATTTTGTTTATTCAGAGAGATTTTTTCTTGCAGTAAGATATTGGTAATATCCTGCTTGTTCTTCTGCTGTCTCTGGGCAGACCCCTACAAATGACATTTCCTAAGTGCCTTTGCCATCTGACTTCAGTCTGAGATTGGCTGATGGTAGCTCTGGCCTGAGACTGGAGGGCAGAAGGAGAGAGGTATGTCCTTCCCCTCTCTCTGTTTGGATTTGCATCCCCAGAATTAGATGCATCTCCTTTGTGGTGCTAGTTCCTGCTCGAGGTCTCCATCCAGAACCCTGGGAGCACCACCTCTCTCCTGGGTCCTCCAGCCCTAGGGGTGGTAGTAGTCTCCTGCTGAAGCAAATCTTTGAATTGCCTCAGCATCCTTGGTTTTTCCTTTCTGTTCTTTTTTATACTTTGTAACTAGTCCTTCCCCACCCTCCCCACCCTCCAAAAATGGCTCTACTACCATGAGTTCTGTTTTCCTGACTGGACTGTGACGAATAAAATTATCTTAAAAATATAAACTCAAAAGTTTAGTAAAAATACCTCCCTGACAGATCCCCAAGACGATCTGCCTAATATTCCACTCCATGTTAGAGATAATTGTATTTATGTAGCTCTCTACAGTTTGTAAAGTGCTTTCACGTGCATAATCTCATTTGATTCCATAAGAACCTCGTGAGATAGGCAGTAGAAGAAACAGAATTGCCTACACTTTCATAGCTGGTAGTACTAGTAGCAGAGAAGAAGCTGTAACCTAAATATTCAGTTTTAAAGTCCCAAGATTAAAAAGGAAAATTTTAAAATGGCCTGATATATGAAAAAAATCCATATTTAGTAATAAGAGGAATTGTTCCTACAGTTTATATTAAGTGTCTTCAAGGCATGTTTTATAATTTCATTCTTTATTGTATTTTTTTCTTATGTTGACTCGTAAGAGTTTGTCTTGCACATATAAATTAGACCATTGCATTATTATTAAAAAACATAACAATGAAAATAGTTCTGGAAATGGGTCTATAGGAATAAGAAAGCCTAAAAAGGAGATGGGTAGCTATTAAGCAAAAGAAAGAAATGGTTTTGGGTATTAATTATCTTTGTACAGAACACACACACACACACATATGTATATGTCTTTAAAACATCCTTAATGGTACATAATACAGAATATTCAAGTGCCTTACAGTACTTCATGATTTATCTTGCCTTATAATAAAGTCCTTTTAGTCTAATTGCATATGGGTCAATATTAATTGAATTGCATGGCTCAATAATTATCTTTTATTTTCTTCCATTTTAAATTGTTTTGAATTTGAATTATAATTTCAAAATATATGTAGGTGACTCATTATTTACTAATTTCTTATACCACCCATTACTAATCATTATTCAATAATTTAGGTAGTTGCTAAAATGGAATGTACAGATCTGAAGAAAAGTATCAATTTAACCATTCACAATTCCAAATTTTGTCTCTGTCCTTGCTCAGCCTCTTTCAAATATTTCCCTCATCTTTCTTCTCCCCTACCCACTTGGCCATGTTCCCTTGCTTGAACATGGCTCTGTAACTGAGATGGCATTGTTTCCCTCTGGGGAGGAATGCTGGCACCCACTTTTGACCAGTGGTCACTGGATGGATGTTGACATAACACATTTACTGGAAGATACGCAGAGAAAACCACTCCAGCTGTGCCTTAGGAACGTGCTGCTCAAAATAAACTTATCGCCAGTGGTTGGACTGGACTTGATCAGCCCAACCCGCCCTGCAACCATCATGCCTTAACGGGTGTCTCTATGGCCCTGATTGAGCTGAGTTGTGTGGATTTGGCCTGGCAGATGTGTGTTTTAAGCAGTGCAGCCCCCACAGGACTGTGAGAGGATGTGTGCTGACAGGAGACATGCTTCCCCCTCCTTCTGCTGTCCTCACCCTTGTCAGTCTGGTTACCCAACCAGTCATCCACTCACTCAAGATCTATATTTAAGTATTCCTGGCAATGGAATGACCAGTTGTTTCTATGATTCGTCAGCTGAAAGGGTTACTGGAAGAAGTTAGGATGCTTTTCAGACATTATCTAACTAGCACTGTGTCTGCATTGCAGAAAATATCTTTAACACTCAGCATTTTCACAAGATAATTTGGTCACATCCTGAGTACTCATCTGCATTGAGTCAGCGAGAAGAAAAGACACAAAAGGAAATAGAAGTTTCATTTGGGTTAAGTTTAGGAATAATTCTTCTCATCTTTAGCCATGCTGATGATGGAAAAATCACTAACAGAATCCTGCAGTGTTGGAATGTTGTAAGAAATACAAAAAAGATCTCTTCTCTTTCTCTTGCCATGTATTTACAAAATCTAGTTGGTTAGCCTTCAAACATTCAAGTCAAATTCTTTGTTTTTAGTAAAATATTGAAACATTCTCTTAACATGCTTTAATATGAGTCTCTGACTATTAGTCATTAGTGTCAGCTGATGTGAACCCCTGTGCTTCCCTACACTGTTGCTTTTCCCAAAATACGTCTTCAATGTTACTTAAAACGCACTGTGGTGACATCTTGTCATTCAGCACATGTTAATTGAGAGCCTCCTTTGTGACAGGCATTTGTGTTAAGTGTTGGATGATTTCTATTTACTTGGTGCTTTATTGTAACTGAAATAGGTAAAATGCTTCTAACTTAAATAAACATTACTTACAAGAAAAATAGAGAAAGGGAGCAAAAGATTAGGTGATGCAAAACTGAATTTGTAAATGCTTACTGGTGCTGCCCAGGTCAGGCTGGAAAGGAGCAGTCCCAAACAGACAACATGCATTTTTGAGAATCTCTGTAAAAAACAATAATGTTTTACCCTAAAGCAATAGTAATTGTAAACTGCAGCCATATGAATAAATAAAACACAAAGGTATATAAATCATCCTTTCCACTAGCAGTCCATTTTCTCTTGTAAGAAAAAAGCCTATGTATAATTTATTTATACCCAAGTGTGGCTACTTTAATCTAAGAGCTTTCATATGTCTAGTTATTTCAATGTGAAAATAAGAATTGTTCAATGTCATTAACACAGTGAAGTCAGTTGTTAGAAACAAATTTTATAGACATATTTATTTGATCGATTGTCATTTCTAACTTTCCCCTCTTGTCATTAGAAAGTGATTGTTTAATTATTTGTATAATCCACGATGATGTGAAGTTAACATAGCAACTCATAACACACTCTTGAAATGAGTCTATCCAGGTATCAGGCTATATTGTGGGGAAGGAAGTCTTGTCAGCTACCAGACTAGTACACCAACATATGTCCTCAGATTCATTAGTATATGAATTAGTAGTCATTCATGCCCTGGAAAGTGAAATAACTATGTAATACTTATATTGATAGTTAACATTTATTGAATAATTAAAATTAACTAGACACCCTTTTATGAATTTTACAAATATTCAATTATTTGAGCCTTTCAACAACCTGTGAGGTGGGTGGTATTACAATTCTTGTTTTATAGATTAGGAAATAGGCACAGAAAGGTCAAATAACTTTCCCTTGATTTCATCGGTATTAAGGAGCAGAAGTAGGATTGTATAGGCAATAGAGCTACAGAGCCAGTGTTCTTAATCAAGACCTTATGCTACCATTAATAATTTTCTATTCTTTTATCTTTTAACAGAAAAATCCACACATAGTTGACTTAAATCCACACGTAGTTGACTTTTATAATAGACTCAACAAAATAATGTTTAAAACCTAACATTTAGTTTTCCATAAAGGTACATATCTATACTTTGGTAAATATACTAATAGGATGTAGGGCTCACTTAAGTCAAGTAACCATTATAAAAAAAAAAAAAAAAAAGGTCAGTGTAGTCTTGGACTACTGATCTGTTGATTTGGGTATATATTAAGTATTTCACTAACTGCCACACAGATATATAACAATCAACAAGAGAATAAAAAATTTACACTACTCTTTGAGATTACTTGGGGGAAAAACACTTTTCATGGGAAAAATACTGGAAATATTCTTGTCATCTTTAAACATTACAAGATGAAAACATTTATTTAGAGAAACAAATATAACTTTCAAATATATTCTAAAATCCTAAATTGTCTTCCAAATTAAAATAATTTTAAGAATCTATTTAATAATTCTAACTATAATTTAGCCTTCCAAGTGTTTTATAGATCAGGATAGGTGAGGTTTGAAAGTATGAATACAATCGAACTCTCTATATTCTGGATTGTAAGTACAGGGATAGAGTAAAAATTGAGTATTTGAGTTTGGATCTTGATAATGCTGATGTCAAATCAAAGAAAAAGTTGCTACCAAATCATCAATTTCAGATTATAATTTCTATAGCTTAATAACACATTTTCTATTTTTATAGGGCAGAAAGCATTCAATATTATACAGTGTGCTGAGTATAGAATATTTTTTATCTGCATTCATTGAAAAAAAAGCAGTATCCCTAGCAGAAGACAAACATCTTGAAAATGTAAACAATTATGTTGTAAAGCTATTTGCTGTCAAAAACATCAAAAGAGCCACATTACCTGGTATCTTTTACCTTCAGAATACCTGGATTCTTCTGTAGAATTTGCAGTCTCTGGGCATTTTGCTGAAATTTAAAGTTTGTTAGAGTTCCCAATGGCCAATCAGCAGTGGCTCACTTAGCACCAGCAAACAATTTGTTACCAGTGCCCACAGATAACCATAGGGGGCAAAGTAATTTTAATCTAAAAATGTTTTTGTGGTGGAAAGCTGCTATCAAATGTTCCAGCAAGTGGGATAAACAGAAAATATAAATACCTCAGTTTGGATGTCATGTTGTCAGATAATTAGAATTGATTTCAGAACTATTAATTAGGTCTGACTGAATAACAAGTTTATAAATGGAAAACATTTTAATAATCCTCTTATGTAAAAAGTTTATAATTTCAAGTTTGTGACAAGGCCTAACATATTTTAACAGAATCACTCTGAATGCAAGTGTTGAGAATGGACAGAAGGAGGAAAAGGGCAGAAAGACCAGCCAGGAAGCTCTTGCAATAATCAGAGAGAGAGAGATGAACCAGAGTGGTGGCAGAAGAGATGATGAGAAGTGGCCATATTCTGAATATATTTGAAAGTAAAATCAGTAGGGTTTGCTGGTGAACCAGATAGGGTTGTGAGCAGAAAGCCTGTCTAATCTTTGGATGAAGGGTGAACCTCAGGAGTGACTTCGCTACTGAGCTAAAATGGTGTCCGGGGGCAATAGTCTCCGGGTTTCTCCAGTCTGTCAGGCCAATAAGTCTGGTCCTTTTTTGTGAGTTAGAATTTTGTTCTACATTTTTCTCTAGCTCTGTCCAGGACCCTCTGTTGTTATCGCTGTCAAAGTAAGGCTGTAAATCTGTACGGAAGCAGACTGCCATATCTTTCTCCTGAGGAGAGACTGGTGGATTCAAACCAGTTGACCTTTCAATTACCAGCTGAGTGCTTTAACCACTGTGCCACCAGGACTGTACTTTACCGCCTCATTAAGTTGGCATAAACATTAAATTTAAAAATGCCTACAAGGAGTTTGTCCAGTACCTAATTTTGTAATTAAATGATAAATAACAGCTACCGACCCTGCCCACTATTCCCATCTTTAAATAATAATCTGGTATTCAGATGACATCCTCCTGTATCTCCTTTCTGTTCTCTGTTGATGTTTCTACAAGGCCTTCTTCCATGACTTACTTGATGAGAGGGAAAGGCAATGAAACATTGAAAGAAGTAGTAGAGTTAAAGTTTAAGAGAAAGTGGTGGACTATTTCTCTGCTGTTGTTGTTGTTAGGTGCCGTCAAGTTGGTTCTGACTGGTAGCGACCCTATGTACAGCAGAACAAAACACTGCCTGGTCCTGCACCATCCTCACAATTGTTATGTTTGAGCCCATTGTTGCAGCCACTGTGTCAATCCATCTGGTTGAGGGTCTTCCTCTTTTTTGATGACCCTCTATCTCACCAAGTATGATAACCTTCTCCAGGGACTGGTCCCTCCTGATGACATGTTCAAAGCACATGTTATCCAAAGAGCACTCTGGCTACATTTCTTCCAAGACAGATTTTTTCATTCTTCCAGCAGGCCATGGTATATTTGATATTCTTTGCCAACACCATAATTCAAAGTCATCAATTCTTCTTCCATCTTCCTTATTCATCGTTCAGCTTTCGCATGCATATGAGGCAATGGAAAATGTCATGGCTTCAGTCAGGTGGACCTGAATTCTCAAAGTGACACTTTTGCTTTTCAACACTTTTAAAGAGGTCTTTTGCAGCAGATTTGCCCAATGCAATATCTTGTTTGATTTCTTGACTGTTACCTTCATGGGCATTGATTGTGGATCCAAGTAAAATGAAATCCTTGACAACTTCAGTCTTTTCTCCCTTTATCATGATGTTGCTTATTGGTCCAGTTATGAGGATTTTTGTCCTCTTCATGTTGAGGAGTAATCCACACAGAAGGCTGTAGTCTTTGATCTTCATCAGCAAGTGCTTCAAGTCCTCTGTCTTTCAGCAAGCAAGGGTGGATCATCTGCATATCACAGGTTGTTAATGAGTCTTCCTCCAATCCTGATGCCGAGTTCTTCTTTGTATAGTCCATTGGTGGTCTATTTCTCTAGCCATCATAAATATTCATGATAAAAATTTCAGCAAAGTACGAAGGATTAAATGGTTAAATGGAAATTAAGGAAAGGAGGACAGCAGACAAGAGTGTTCAGTCAACTCATAAGGCTGAACAGAAATATAAAACTGTACAGGAATATCTCCAAGATACTGTGGGTTTCATTCCAGACCACCACAATAAAGGAGTATTGAAATAAAGCAAGTCACATGAATTTTTTGGTTTCCCGGTGCATAAAAATGTCACATTTGCACTATACTGTGTACAATAGCATTATGTCTAAAAAAATGTACATACCTTAATTAAAAAATGTTACATTGCTAAAAAATGCTAACCATCATCTAAGCCTTCAGCAAGTTGTAATATTTTTGCTGGTGGAGGGTCTTGCCTCGATGCTGATGGAAGCTGACTAATCAGGGTGGTGGTTGCTGAAGGTTAGGGTGGCTGTGACCATTTCTTTCCTTCTATTGTGCTTTAGATGAAGATTTACAGAGCAAATTAGTTTCTAATTAAACAATTAACACACCTATTGTTTTGTAACATTGGTTGCCAACACCACAACTCATCAACACTCTCCTTTTCTTGACCTTGGGTTCCTTATTATTAGCTTTCCTGTGCCTTCCTGCCTTCTTGTCCTTGCCCCTTAGTCTTGTTAAGTTTTATGGGTCAGTCTAATCTTTGGCTGAAGGGTGAACCTCAGGAGTGACTTCAGTACTGGGTTGAAAGGGTGTCCGGGGCCATACTCTTGGGGTTTCTCTAGATTCTGTCAGACCAGTAAGTCTGGTCTTTTTTGTGAGTTAGATTTTGTTCTACATTTAATTCCAGCTCTGTTCATGACCCTCTATTATGATCCCTGTCAGAGCAGTCAGTGGTAGTAGCCAGGCACCATCTACTTGTGCTGGATTCAGTCTGGTGGAGGCTGTGGTAGTTGTGATCCATTAGTGCAATTTCTTAAAATAAGGCAATAATGAAGTTTGCTGCATCGATCGACTCTTCCTTTCATGAAATATTTCTCTGTGGCATGCGATGCTTATTGGTAACATTTGATAGAACTTCTTTCAAAATAGGAGTCAATCCTCTCAAACTCTGCCACTGCTTTATTAACTAAGTTTATGTAATATTCTAAATCTTTTGTTGTCATTTCATTTCAACAATGTTCACAGCATCTTCAC